AGCAACAACCGACTTTGGGAGAGAACAAACCAGATCTTAGCGGAGGAAGAAATTAGGAAGAAGCGCTGGAAGTGGATAGGACACACATTGAGGAAAGCACCTAACTGCGTCACAAGACAAGCCCTCACATGGAATCCTGAAGGTCAAAGGAAAAGAGGAAGACCAAAGAACACATTATGCCGGGAAATGGAAATAGACATGAGAAAAATGAACAAGAATTTGATGGAACTAGAAAAGAAGGCCGAGGAGAGAGTGGGTTGGAGAATGCTGATTGGCGGCCTATGCTCCATTAGGAGTAACAGGCATAAGTAAGTAAGTAAGTCTTAGAGTCAGTAGTAAAATAACACTATATACATTTAGCTGTTAATGTTAGAAGACTCTTCTGTTGTTTTCTCCTCTCATGGTTTTTCTAATGGATTGTTTTCGGTCTGACACAGTGCATCGGTTGAATTTTCATTAAATTATAAATTGATCGTTAGTATAATCTATTGTGACTTATATCTCCCTATACGCTAAACTATTATTCTTTCTTATTAATTCATTCTGACTTTGGAATTAATTCTGTCACTGTTTTCTAAATAAATAATGTTTAGTATCAGTATTAGGACTGACAGTACTACTAATAATTGTTGTAATATCATTATTAATACCAATAGTAATAATAATAATAATAATATCGAAACTAATCATAGAAAGTGATGTGAGATAAATAAATTACTTATTTTTGTTTCCCTTCCCTTAACACATATTTATTCATTACGTTTTTCTACTTATCATTGTTTTTTTATCATCACAATATGACTGAGTGAGCAAATCAAATAGAAATTCAAACCATCTCTATAAATCAAAGATAAATAACATCTTTGAAAATAGAGGTTATTTGGTTAGTTTATTTCCGAAACAAAAATATTCAACCGTATGATGATCGACAAAATACTTTCTATAAAAACCCATTATGGTTTTAACCTGATTAGCTTAATGTTTTAGCTATACTATTATTCAATTATCAGAAGTTTTATTTTCAAATGTCTAAGTTAAAATTTGATTGATTAAGAAATATTGCTTTTCGAAACAGATACAATAACTGTGAGAATAAGTAAAAACAGTATTCGACTACTTTATTGTCATGACACAATTACATGAATCTTATTTCGATAATTCGTAATCATACTGAACTGAACAGTTATTATTTGGGTAAGTACAAACAAGTTACTATTCGTATTGGGTTTATGAGGTTTCTTTTATATAACAACCATAATAATAGTAAGTATGCGATAGACAAACTAGCATCAACAGTCTTATATTATTTTCAACTTGATGTGAATTTAGGAAAATTCTACAATCTATACACTTTAATATACATAACCAATGGTTTTACCATGCAAAGGATGTTTTCAAGTTACTGTTGCGTATTCGACTCTTGTATTTCTATTAATCCACTATTTAATGCTGTAATTATTCCTAAATATGTGAAAAAGAATAAAATCCTATGTTTAATCCAGTGTGATTTTGTGAGTGTGCACTGTTGAGGAATCACAAGTCAACGAACAAGAACTGTATACATATTTTTGAGTTTTACTAGTTATTCTGTCGATGTCAGCTCGTCATAAAACTTACCTCAATTGATAGAAAATAACAAAAAAAACCGATGTTATGTGAAACATTATTCTTGACCTAATTATCAAGAAACTTTCAACAGTTTCATTCATATGAATTCTTTATTCGATTAATTAGAACATTACTTTCATAAATAATCAATTTATGTCTTGTGAAAAAATGTTTCAAGTTTCTACAGTTAGTGAATAGCTTTTATATTAAATATACACAGTATCGTAGGATTAGTGAATAAAAATATGGTTTTTAGTAAAAATGAATAGAATGCCTTTCAACAGTGAACTTATATGACAGAATGAGAGCATGATATCTTTAACTAAAAAGTGCGTAATTTGAAAAATTCTTAATTTTTATATTATTATTATTATTGTTCGAACATGTAAACAGTGTAGAATAATCATATAATATCATTTATGATGAAATTCTCGATGAATCTCTGTATGAAAATAACAAGAATAAACTAAGTTGATGGTACAACCGTTGTATCACTTAAATCAGTGGTCATTTATTAAGCATAAGTTCAATATCATCTAACACAATACTTATGTTACCGCAAATTGACTGATTGTGTCCTGATACAAACCGTTACAATTACTGAATGCAGTTAGTTAGGTGTTAGTTGGTCGTAAAGCGGTGGGGAGTTTATGTCAAATTTCATTTTGATAATTTATTAAGCACTAAACACATTTGTGCAATAAAATGATATATATATATAACCATACTATCATTCTTAAGACGATAAAAGACGTTCTTTTGTTAATTTTAAAAGGTTATTCTGATGAAATTAAGTGTAGCTGGTATTCATTTTATTATTGTTTTAGCATTTCAACTTGTTTAACAAAATATATGAGTTATATTTTATGTTTACCAACGGACGGTCTACTATTTTCCGGTGATGTCGGCTAATTTAAAAAAATATGGTGTAGATCAAACCATGATGTATCATCATTATTATTAGTCATTAACTATTTATATGTGCCATTAAAGTTAGTGAAAACATTTGAGCTTAGATTTTCAGGCTATTAAAAAAATGAATGTTGGTAACCATAAGGATGATGTCGATCGTAGTAGTGAAGAGGTATATCATTCATATCTTGTCTTGAACTTTAAAAATTTTCAGTTGAATCTTTTTATTTCATTTTTATCACTATTTGGATTTTAATTATTTCTTCATAGGGATGATGGAGATCAATCATTTCTAAATCAAACGACTATTATGCTGAATTCTAGTTATTATTTCTTAAAATTGGTAATAGAGAATAATTTTTCTCATTTACTAGTAAAGTTGATCTATTTAAAACTGATTGTTTTTTTTATAAAATGACAAACTTTAAAATGCTATCCTAGATGTTTCATTAAATTCAGGTTTAATTTGCTTCCATTTTATGACTTAAATGTTTATAAGCAATAGAACACTTGTATTTATTTATTTTACAATTTTTCATATTTTATGAAATGTAGTACCGATTATACAACTAGTGTCATTTTCATCTTAACTATTACTTAACGTTTTAATATTCTTATCATATAAAATGGATAGTTGATATATTTTAACTATTTCAGTAAGGTTAATTTTCAATAATTCCAGCTGTTTTAAATTGTTCACAATTTTAAATAAAAATTATAATCCAAAAGTGTATCATTTTTCTCAACAGTATTCCAGTTATAAAAACAAACAAAAAAATTATTTCAATGGTTGAGATCATGAGTCGATTGAAGCTAGACCACCATGGAAAACCTGGAGCTACTAGATATCCCTTTCGTCCTATTGTGGGACTCCTCAGCCGTGTGCACCCATGACCTCACCTCGTGGGATTCAAGCCCAGGATCTACCAGTCTCGCGCGCTAGCACTTAACCACTAGACCACTGAGTCAGCATCCAACGGTGTTAATGTCTAACTTCAACCAATCCACGAAATTGACTCATTATCTCAGTCATTGAAATTACTATAATATTCACAAGACCCTACTGATATGAAAAAATTATTCATTTTAATATCAAAATTTATTTAACCTGAATTTCATTAATAGTTGGGTTTGATATTCCATTGTAAACTTGTTTCTGTTTACTTGTGACAAAGGATTTTTCTTTGTGAAATTAAATTTTTCGTAAATTTTTGTCTATTGTCATTTTTATTTAATTCAGACTAACATCAATTTGAGATGTAGTAAAAAAGATTATTCTGACTAAGTAATGTGCGTGTGCATGTTTTATTTTACAAATACGTGGATATTCAAATAATGTTTTCATAACACGAATAACAGTAATGAATTATTCTATTATTTGTTGTCTCATATTCGAAACTATTTCAGTAGTTTTGCATATTGATGGAAAGAAGATAGACATCGTTTTGTAAATTTTTAAACATAGGATTAAGAGATCCTATAGTCTATTCAGTGAACAAAAATTAGTGATTGAAAGGTCGAATATTGGTTGTTAAAAGAGATCAGTTTTGGAATGTGATTTGCATTATCTCATACTGGCATAAATATTAAGCATGTTTAGAATTATAGGTATCATTACTATGATTTGACTTGATAATTTCGAATAAATTGAGCATTGGGTATATTGTTATAAATAAATTAATGTACTTGTAATATCCCAATGAATTGGAAAATTAGATTTTCTACTCATTCTGATATTAATTATGTTTAGATTTAATTAGTGTCGAAAGCTAAAGTAGTACAATCAAATAACAGATGTGTTTTAAAGCACTGAAATATGAAGTAAATAAAGTCAATAGTCAGATTATATCTCATGAATTTAGTACAGACTCATTCGATAAACAATATTTTACTCATAGATTTGTTGTCGTTCGGACTTTTAAACAGTTAATTCCGGGGACTTCTAACCGAGGTAAAAATAGGTGTTCAGTACTGTTCAGTACTAAAATTTTCTCAGGATAAAATAAATTTGAGATCAAATAAGCTTTGAAATATACATCTGTTCCCGCCTATTTAAATAATAGTTATTCATTTATATTGAAAATTTAAAAGTTTATTATTTCTTTAATCGTTAATTTATTTATAAATTCTTTGCTATTTTTTAATTAGAAGTGTAAAATCTCATATATTCCAAATGTCTTTCATTATCACTATGTTATTTTTATTATAAAAATTTGGTTAATCATATAATTACGTCAGCTTGACAGGTTGTGCCAAAATACTTAGATGATCACAACATCGTAACTCTAAATAAGCCTTTTATTTCGAAACAATTATAATAAGTAACATATTACTATGTTTTTAAGAATTGTAAGAGTTTATATGTGTTGGATATATTTATTTTGAACGTTTTAACTGTTAAACTGGATTTGATAAATTATTTCGTTTTTCATACATTTAAGCTGTAATTACGTAAAAGTTTTTTACACACTTCACTTCAGATAGTTGAACGTAAAGCAGAACTGGCTATTTCTGAACAATATTCACTGATGTCTTGTTCTTCGTCCTATTCTCATCCTAAACCTTTGATAAATCCTACGAAACAAATTATGAAAACGTCACCGACAACTGTTCAACCGTCAAACCATCAACCATCTTTATCAAATCAATCATTAAATGCACATAATATTGAATCGTTAGCTAGTGCAAGTACAGGCAGTGCAGGAGGAGTGAAAAGTATTGAATGTGGTGCAAGTGTAACAACAACTAGTTTGATAAGCGGATCACTATTTGATCATCGAGATAGCAAGCATACATTGAACTCAACAACAACAAATTCAGCAAATAAATTGCCACATAAATCAACCAGTGTTCATGTATCACCTTCAATGACTGGAGTTATTGTTGAACCAAAGCATCAAAGGTCTAGTAATGTTAACAAACCACCAAACGATTTCAATAATACTACAATACAAAATAATCAAAAAGGTAGTCAATCTAGTATTAGACAGACTAGTACTGGTTCAAGATTATCTAGACGCGGGGTAGCATGCGCTGGGTAAGTTACTCTTTTTTTTAAAAACATATAGTCCAATAGTATGCTTATTCCCGTTTAATTGATATATATTCATTAATGTTTGTGCAGTTTGCATCAATTAAGAACTGAGAAAATTAACTTTTCAGCAAAGAAAGTCCTTTCTGTGATATCGTTTACTAGATCTGTAAAGTCGTATTTTTAGTTATTTTGTACGTAAAGTGGTTTATGATAGAAATAAACAGATTATTGCATCATTGTCAGAAGTACCAAAAGTCAGTTAGGGGTCAGGGTCGCGTAGTGGCCGTAGGGTAATAACAATGAAATAAAATATAGCCATGAGCTATGAAAAACTATCCATTTAATGTTTATGAGAAGGATGAAACTATGAACAAACACTTCAAAATAATATATAGAACAGAGATGTGAAAGATAACTGCCCACATGAATAATATAAGAAGATGAATTAAGAGGAACCAAATACATTTCAAGTTACTAGCAAAATAAGAAGAGGTGTTAGATACATGATAATCGAATGGATTGAATAAATCGGATCTGAACATAAAGACCAAGCATCAGTCAGTAAATCAACATATTCTCCGCTGTGCACTAGTTTCTTATTCAGGTTCCGTTCAAATTGACTAGTTTTACTTTGTGAGTTGTCCTCAATGAAGATTCTGGGGGAGATAGATGACCGGAATTGTCTACATGTTCAAAAGTCGAGCTACTCACTGATTTATACTCACCGTTCAATAACCATTCTGGATAGTGTTCGGATATGCGTTTGTAAAGTGCATGGTTTGTACATCTGATATATAAGCTGCAAAAAAGAAAGAAAGAACTGACAGATAAACACTGAGGTGGCCTAAAGTGTATCCTTGGTACATTCTTTTGTAGGATATTTGCAGGAAAGTACAATTCGTAACTCAACTGAATAAAAGGTTCTCTTCAAAAATTAGATTATTTGGTTTCGTAAGATCTCTACAATTACATCTTTGAAATTAATGTTCATGAGTAAAATCTTCCGTAAGATAGTTTTTTCAGTCAAGTGTTTTGATTTCAGACCATTTAGTTCCTAGGATTTGGTGTTAACTGTTTACATTAAACACATTTATTGTCATATTATTCCTATACTCAGTTATTATTTTGTTATATTGCTGTATAATCAACATAAATGAAAATTGAGTCCGATTTTACCCACATTCAAATAATTAATAACTTATAGCTTTTAAAAGAATGAGTTTCTTTTTCTATTTGGCATAGATAATCTGTTGGAATATTATTCTAGAGTTTTTGCACTAGAATAGTAATTACACAGGTATTATAATATTTCAGTATATACGATCACACGTTTTGTAATAATGGTTTTATCTGAACAGTCACATCAAAGCTGTTAGTGGATAATTACTTACTTACGCCTGTTGTTAGTGGATAATGGTTTTGTGAATAATAAAAATCATCACGAAGATGTTTCTGGCAACACGGAAAAAAAGCTAAGCATCCTTTTGGTCAAATTAGTTAGTGTTCGTTTATTTATTAGGGACTTTGTGGCCAATCATTTAAAAATATAATGGTAAATTTTTCATGATAACTTATTCATTTAATACGTGGGTTTGAATTTATAGAAGAATAATGGGACTTTCGGTTAGTTTGTTCTACAATGAGTTTCATTATTCAACCAAGGTTTTTATAATTTTACAAATCTGTAAAACTAATTTGTCATTGAAATGATTTGTTTTCTGATTTTGCGTCTTAATTACCTCTCATTTTTTTAACATACATAAAGCTGAACAGCTTGAATCTTGATCATTTATTTGATTCAAGAACGCTTAAGAGCCGAGTGCAAAAGTTGGCAGACAAGTCCGTTTTAGCATTCATTCTGATAACAATATGTGTTTCAATATCTTAGTTACTTTTTTATTACTAAAACGTTTTATTCGCCTTGAGAATCATATATATGTATATATTCGTAAATTGTATTGGATCATATTACATAGGAACAGACAACTTGAGTTCATTTATATTTCTATACTTTAAATACTTCACATTCTTAGTATTATTGTTTTTATTGTAATGGTTTCCTACAAATTATAAAAAGTGTTTTGATTTATCATTATTGTATGTATAATTTAGTTAGTATATGAGCGTGATTGTGTAAACAATGGTCACTGAAAGCTTGCTATTGAACAATGAAATGTATGTTGAGCTAATGGCTTCAGTGGAAAAGTGTCAGGATATGTGAAAAAATAAACAACTAAGAATTGCACTTACCATCCCTAAAACATCTAAAAATGTATTTATATCAACATGATGAATGATTTATGAACATACTATTAACTTCATATTAATTTACTTCTAATTTTGATTATTCGTGTTACAGACAGGATGGATTTATTTTCTATTTAAAAAAGTAGTAGCCTTATGAATGTATCCTTAATTTTTTGTTTTTACGATATACTATTATTACAAGATAATAGGACTGGTGATAGATGTTATGCTACCCCTAGGCTGCATATGCGATCAATAAGCTATACACAGACTGGATGCACGATTATAAGTAGAAAACCGGGGTTCAAACGAGACAATACTTTATTCAACATAATCTTAGGGAGTTTATACTCATTAACTCTAAAGCAGATATAGACTATAGTAACAAAATCAAAAATTAAGTAGTCAGTATGATGTATCTGTCAGTTCACGCTCCATAGCCAATCATATTTACTATTAACAGCTAAACATCAGTTTTTATATTGTAACATATTTAACGCATTGATGCAACTTCAGAGAGCTAGTACATTTCCTTTTTTAGACTAATTCTTTTTATACTTTAATAATTAGTCATAATATATTCCTCTACCTTGACTGTTTGTCTACGCATAACCAATTTCTTTGAAAGGTATATTACTTAAAATTAATTTAACTGTTCTTATCACTTTATGATGATCCATTTAAATTATTATTGCTTCCAGGTTTTCCATGGTGGTCTAGCTTCAACTGACTCATGATCTTAACCATTGAAATAATTATTTCTTAGAGATAACTGAACACAATGATTATTTACTAAAGAATGAGGTGTTTTAAAAATCCGATTTGATAGTTAAAAAACTAATATAATTATCATGTATTTCACAGTATTGTACAACATTAACGAGAACGCTTAATTGTAATCAATAGCGAGTTGAACCGAAAATGATTTCATTTAGTCGTGCATTTTTATTTTGCCTAAACCAATTTGTGTAATGCAGCTATCTGTGTTATAGTACTAACAAACAATTTATTTATCATTTATTTACTGACCAAAACATAGACTGAACAAAAAAACACTCTAATTGTTATTTTGTTAAATAAATACTGACTATCTAATGTTTTACATGGTTCTTTATCCGGGTTTTTTTTAAAACGATATCAGTTTGTAAAGCACTGCTGAGGAGTCCCATACTAGGACGAAACGGCCGTCCAGTGCTTCCAGGTTTCCAACGGTGGTCTAACATCAATTAATTCATGATCTTAACCAAAAAACTTAACAATCTCCACAACCCCCATACTGATAATAATAATGTTTGATTTTTTTAATTGTCTTTGAAATGAATTTCGCCAAATTTTTTCGATATTATAATTTGTGGAGTCGATCGATTTAAAAAATTGTTGTTCACTGGAACACGTTCAGTATTGTAACTGAACATATTAAATCAATGAAAATATTTCAATGTTTAGTTTATTTTTGTTACATAATTAATGACTATCAGTTCAATACAAGTTAAAGAACTTTAAATGAAAGTTGTCGGTTATAAAATAACTTAAATTTTTTTTAAAAATGTAACTATATCACTATCCAACTTTTGTCGGGGAAAAACAAAAATACGTTTAAATGAAGTCATCTGTAAAATTTGTCCAATTTGTCGCCTATTTTTAGATATCTGCCATGTTCCACTGTTTGTTTTTTTTCAAAAGAAAAAAGATTTTGGTTCAAATGAACAATAGATATTCTTAATTTTGACAATTCAGTCTATTTTATAAGCTTATTCCAATAATGTAAATTACTACCTTAGTATTTGTTTTAATCTTTTCTGTTTTGTGTATTTATAAATAAAATATGTACATAAATAACAGTAAAATTCTGATCATCTTATAAGTGTTTTAATTTTTAAGTATTTAACAGTTGCTTTTCTACTTAATATTTTATGGATGTTCTAGAGGCTCACTTCAGATTCGGTCAACTTGAACGTATGATACATTTTTACCTTTGATACTTTATGCATATATTGAAGGTACATTAAGTAATAAGACGTTTTCTGATAAACATGAGTAACATAGGAATGTTGGATTATGTTGAAATCTTTGAATAATACCAAAACATCTATAAATAAGTAGTTTCGATAGTTTAACAAGGCTATTCATCTAGGTAATTCATATTATCTTTATTGTCGTCATTATTATTAGTTTGTATAGAAGTGTCTTTAGGATAAATTCTATTTAGTTGTTTGATGTAAACGCTTCAACAAACTCAAAGTACAATTGTCCTTCCAATTATTATTATTATTATTCATTTTCTTATTTAACAAATAATGCCGATAACCATTTAAAACCTTTAAGAATTCCAGGCAAGTAAATTATCAGGTCACTTATTATTTCAATACCGATTTATTTTTAAATGGCAGATGTGATTGGCTGATAGAAAGCAAACTAATCCTATTTAATATCTCTAATATAATTGAGTATTTCCTTTAAATTCATTCATTAGTGAGTACTACCTAACAGATAACGTCATCCATTTTTTAAAAATACGAACTAAGTAATTCACTTCAACCATATAGATAACGAATTATTACAAAGTATGTTTGAAAAAGGATTAGCAATTCACTTTGATCATGCTTCTTTCGGGTAATGAATGCATTTTAATCTTGGTGCAAATACTTTTATGTTCATATTATGAACATTTAAATACAATATCTATCATTACGAATCGCTGTTGACAAATTCTTATTTGTGAAGTATATGTGTTGATTCTCTTCTTCCATTGAATAATTTCACATTTTATTAATATAGATAATATATATTTCTGTGATCATTTGTGTTTCGGTCTTGCCTATCTATCTTTTTGTTTGTTTGTTTATGTTGTACTATTCTGTTGCATGAACTACTTGTTTATTGTGAAATTTCAAGATTTCCCTGTCGTCAGATTGTTTATACTATCGATACAAATAAACATCGAAAACATTTTATTATACTCCATTTGAAAATTTCATTTTTGTAAGCAAAGTTTTTTTAAAAATTTTCATGGTGACTACTTTAGGCGGACTTTATAAAAAACCTTTTTAATTTTTTCAGTATTTTTATGACGCAATGTAAATTAACGGAAGATTCTTTGTTAGACGGGAGTTTACAATTTATAGTTTGTATCTAAGACTAAGTCTTCAAATTTATTTACAAAAATACTCTGACTCCCAGAGATAAAATCTAAAAGTCTGTGTGATTATTACACCAGGTTGTCCTGAATATTTGCAAATTATGGACTAACTTTTCTTAGTGTTAACTTTCCAGCTTTAAGTTCTAATTTTCCATAAAAACTGAAATTCAGCAGCCAAATGCCGAATATGTGAAGCAGTAAAATATTTAACATCGCAATTGAAATATTTGGTTTTTTGTTTATTTTTCCTTTGATTTTCTGATTAGCTGTAAGTTTATAGCCCGTTATTGAAAAAATGTAAATTTTTGTAATGTGTTTTCCAATTGACAGATTTCCAGCTTTTTCTTGGTGCAGTGGGCTGCAACGCGTAACTGCTGGTTGTGCATCGTTGGGCCGTGGTCATCATAGTCTACAAGGAAGTAGTAAAAACTCTAGCCAACAAAAGTTGACTGGAAATACAAAATCTCAAAGATCCGTCCAATCTAACGAATTTACAAATCTTGGCACCAGACCTACACCCCCTCCAAAACCTGGTCCGCTAATTGTGGAAGTATTTCTCACTAGAGGGACAAAAAGTGGTTTAGGATTCAGTATAACTGGTGGTGTTGGAAATGAAACAATCAACGGTGACTCAGGAATTTTTGTAACTAAGGTTTGTAATAATATTATATACTTCTATTCTACATTAGAATATTTCCGATTTAATATAGAATACTGTTTCACAACTTGATTATGAATCATCTGTATTTTTTCTATATCTGGGTGTTATAAATGGAAATGACAAACTTTATCGGTTGATAAATTTGTGATTTACGAACAAGATTGTAACAGTGTTCTATAGTTATATAATTCGATGTTCATTAGGTGATTTCGGGAAGCCAAACTATACACATTGAATTTATGTGTCTATATCATTGTACTAAAAATGCGTCTTTGTCATAAATTCTCATTCTCACGATTAAAATGGCTAAGTTAAGCTCTATCCCTTGTTTTATAGTTTCGAGAAGTTATATGAGATTTTCTGAAATTAAAAAGTAATCTGTTAAACAATTTTTATTCATTAGATCAATTTCCTCATGAATAGCCATATTGATCATATTTTGTTGTAAGAAATTTTCTATCAGAAACTAATTCTAGTAATCAGATTCTTTTTTCGTTTTCTTTACGGGACCTTTTGACTTGGGTTGTTTGTTTTCATGAATGATGCACTATTATCATTCAAGTAGGTCTGATCCATTGAAGGACCATTTCATTATCTTCAACCAAATATTTAAGTGAAAGTTCCTCAACTGAAATGTTTATAATGATCTGTATAGTGTGATGATTTTAATTGTATATTGAAGTATGAACTTTGAGTTGTTAGAGTTTCATCGGTTTTTTTCCATATTTTGTCTTCATACTTTAATATCACTTCTAATTGGTTAGTTATGTTCACTGTGTTATATCCGAGCGAAGATCAAATCACGAGTAACTTCTGAGACCTATAATGGACTAATATTATCTATATATTCTTATGATATAACTATTCAGTAATTAGATTTTGTATATTTATATTCATCTTATTATAAGCTTCATTTTGACCCATAGATTATTAATGTGCGATTTACTGTTCTTCAGCTATGTTCAGTTTATTAACTACTGCCTCACATGTTCACAGCCACTTTTTGGCTTTATTGTGTACAAATGTTATTTCCTATTTTATGGTGCGTTGCGGTCTGTTTGGTTGACATAAAAACCCAGTGTGTCTGAAATCACTGATTTGATTCGATTCGCATAGTGGAAACTGCATTCTCCATCGAACTTTGTCCTGGACAATCCTTTCCAATGGCTTCCAGTTGCTGTTCATCCTTTCCACGTCTGCTTCCGATTCTCGACGTAGGGTGTTGTTCTGCTTTCCACTTTCCCTTTTCTCTTCAGGATTCCGAGTTAGCACTCGCTTTGTGATGCAGTTTGGTGAGTTCCGCAATGTATTTCCTATCAACCTCCAGGGTCTTTTCCTAATTTCTTCTTCTTCAAGTAGAAGCTGGTTTGTCTTCTCCCGCAGTAGGTTGTTGCTGATGGTATCGGCTCAACGGACAGTGAGTATCTTTCGTAGACCGTTGTTTATAAATACCTGTACTTTTATGATGATGGTTGTGGTAGTTTACAAAGTTTGAATTCCGTACAGTAGAACTGACTTGACGTTCGTATTGAAGATTCTGACTTTGATATCGGTTGACAATTGTTTTGAGTTCCATGCATTCTTCAACTGTAGGGTGGAGACCCTGCTTTGTCAATCCTCGCCTTTGCGTCTGCATCAGATCCTCCACGTTCATCGATTATGCTGATCAGGTACATGGAAAATCCCACATCTTCCAGAGCTTCTCCATCAAGTCTGATTGCGCTGGTGTTGACTGTGTTTTATTCGAGGATCTTGTTTTGATCCCTTGTGTATGTTGAGGCCTACTGATGCGAAATTCGCCGCCACACTAGTTGTCTTCATTTGCATTTGTTGATGTGTATGTGATAAGAGAGCTACGTCAACAGCGAAGTCTAAATCGTCTAGTTGCATCCAACCTGTCCGTTGTATTCCATACTCCCCCTTCATATATGAAGGTCTTCATGATCTAGTCAACCACGATAAGGAAGAGAGAGGTTGCGAGTAAGCAGCCTTGCCTGACACTTGCAATGAATCTGTTGGCTGTCCTCCATGCACGACTTCACAGTGTATTCCGTTGTATGAATTCCGGATGATGTTGAAGATTTTCTCAGGTACAACATAGCATTGAAGATTCTATAATGCTCTCCTATCCACACTGTCAAATGCTTTTTCATAACCAATGAAGTTCATATATGGTTACGATTTCCACTCAAGTGATTGTCCAACGAGTGTCGCGATTTGGTCTATGCACGAACGATCCTTACGGAATGCAGTCTGTTGATCTCGAACCTGGAGGCCTATTGAATCTTTCATCAGGTTGAGCAACACTCTTGAGAATCCTTCCTGGTTCTGACAGTAGTGTGATGCTTCTGTAGATTTCACATTTTCTCCGATCTTCTTTCTTTGGTATTTTGATGAGGTATCTTTCCAGTCCATTAGCACTTGTCCTTCCTCCCAAATGTTCCTGAATAGAGTGTGAGGCATGTTTGCAGTTACTTCTGTGTGCGCCATTAGTGCTTCGCTTGGTATATTGTCGTATCCTGCTACTTTCCCGCTCTTGATTTGTATGGTGACCGGTGATCCTGATTCCTTCGGTCGTTGGTTGAGTGACATGTATAGGAAGGTCTATAGATGCTGCTTCGATGTCCGGTGGGTTTAGTGGTGCTGGTCTATTCAAAAGGTCCTCGAAGTACTCTACGCATCTGTTCCATTATACTTGATTCTTACTGATTAGCTTGCCTTCTTTGTCCTTGGCCTGTCTCTCTGGTCTACTATATTTCCCTGCTAGTTTATTCGTTGTGTCATATTGTTGTTTCATATCTCTGTATTCAGCTTGCACCTTGGCTTTCTCTATTCTTGTTCGTCTGTTGTTGGTTGCTGACTTCCTGTTCTTCCTTTCTTGGATTTTTGCAGGGTTTCGATAGAGATTCATTCCTGAAGATGATGCTTCCATAACACCATCAAGAAACTTAATATCCAGTGATTTGTTTGTCAAGTGAAGCCTCTAAAACGCATGACTGTATATAACTGCTGTTGTGATGTGACCTACTTATATCCACACAAGTAGTATATAATGATCAGGAATAGAATGCATTTCAGTAGAAGATCGAGAAGGAAAGAACGGAAACGGAAAGCAATTGGTATTAGAATGCACAAGTAATGAGATCTGAGACGATGGACTGATATTTGCAAAAGAAACAGTCAACTTTGGATTGATATTTTGCAAATTAACTATTTACTCTATGGTTCTCAGATTTTAGTGAGATGTTCTGTAACTTTGTGTTCAAATACATTCGATAGTCCCCGCTCGTGTTCTTGTTCACTACACTATTAGCTTTTCTTAAAGGAAGATGTGTTGTTAGTACTGAAATTCATGACATGTCAGTAATTTAGGTTGACTGAAAGTTCTGAAATTCAGATGAGTAGTGATCGAAACATGATTTCAATCTAAACGAATTTGTTATAAATAAATATAGATGTGATTTCTTTTAAGAATCCATAGATCAAAACATTTCAATTTTCTTATCAGAGCTTACAATCTGATTAGCTTTTAAATTAATGTACAAATCGGAAATTAGTTCAGCTGTGATAACTGACTAACGCTACGTGAATATCTGAATATGATTTATCAAGTACTGGGTGTATAGCTATAATGTCTTCTTTTGAATATGCCCTTATTTTTAAAATGGTTTTTAGCTTACTCCTGGTGGTGTTGCAGAAACAGATGGTCGAATTCGTATTGGTGATAGAATTGTTCAAGTAAATGATATACCACTTATTGATGTAACTCATGAACAAGCAGTCCGTGTTTTAAAACAAGCTGGTGATCAGGTTCGACTTGTTCTGGTAAAACATGTAAATAATTATTCATCAGATCAAACTTCGTCAACAGGTAAGTGTCAGGTTATAATCGTATACAGTTATAAGTACTAGTAGCATGATTTTGACGTTAGCATTTGAAGTTATATAGCTTCGTTCTCATGAATCTTTCGTTGTATGAAAGTGGTTTTTACATATTCATGTGTTTTTACTCAAATAATAAGTGGTTTTATTGTAGCATATTTTGTTGGAAAGTGTTTAAAAACACCTTTTATATGAAAATTTGCCCATCCTTAGACGGTCTCGGTCGTACTTCAATATGACCGAGAAAAACTTGGAATCTTTTGAATTTTTTATCACAAGTATCTCATTTTTTACTACAGTTAGATAAACAATGTTCCTATCTTCTTACTGAAAATGTACATTGAAATTTCCTTTGGCTGTCCCATGTCATAACTTGTCATCAGTATTTTTCATATTCAGTTAATCAAATATCCGAAATTATTGATGTATTTATATTCGTGTCGTCGATTAAAAATTTACAAGAAAACACTACATAGTGTCCTAAAGCAATCTTTAATATTCCGTTATATGATCTATGAATAATAATTTCACAAAGCGAGTAGTTTCACAGTATTTGGGCGCCGAGTTGATGTGAGACTTTAAAGAGGAAGAATGTATTTGTAAAATCTCAGAGAAAGGATTCAAAGTAAATCCAACGTTTCGCCTGACAATTTGGTCCAAGCTTTTTCAAGGAAATATTTCCTTTAATGTTATACAGAGTGAATTTAAAATGCAAACAAAGCATAAATTAATTTTAATATTACAGATTTATTTTTCTGTTGATCTCGAAAAAAAGAATACAATCACAGCTTTAAGAATCCCTATACAAAATTGTCGCAAATCTTAGATCGTAGTTAAATTTTAACCCATGTATATGTACAATTTGTTATCAAACAGTTGATAAACTAAGGTAATAAAGTATGGATATTGAAATGGTGGAGAAGATTTGTAGCTCAGGTGGATGATTTTGGTGGAGTTTTGTTCTCTGAGCTGGATGGTTTGGTCGTGGAGCTTTCATTGTTCTTCTGAACGACATCATCAGCACAAACTTCAGATAGAAGTGAAGTGTTTGAATTTCTCCATATATGTCTCAAAGCTTGTTCTGTGCACCTCGACGTTGATTGGTTCTTATTGACCTTAAATTTGTCGTTGTTTACTTCTTTGTTTTGGTTGTGTCTCCCACTGTTTGATTTTTGTTCTTATGTTTGTGCATGATTTTTCTGATTGGTTGATAAATTGGATTGATTTCAATATGCTTGTTGATTGCTAATTGACCTGAGTGTCAGGCTTCTAAAAATTCTCTGGTGTTTTTGGAGTTTCCTCTGTCTAAGATTTCCACATTTTTCCAACCGAATGAGTGTCCGCAGTTGTCCACGTGTATTGATATAAGTGAAGAGATATCATGCCGTTTGACTGCTAATTGATGTTCATGTAGGCGAAGGTGAAGTGGGCGCCCGCTTTGTCCGATGTAGTGTTTTTCGCAGTTGGCACAATTTATTTTGTAGATGATGTTTGATTTGTTTTCCTTTGTTATTTCATCAACCAAAAGATGCAACATTTTTAACTTATTCTAAAAGTTTTGTAGAGATCAATTTAACCTGTTATTGGTTTCTGGTCATAGAGTTCTATAATTAATGTGAAACTGAAAACTAGGTACCACTGAACAGATATTTGTACCTGGTATGGGGAGTTTCGTCTTTCCTTAGCTATGCTCCCATCAGTAATCAAACGTGTTATGAGTGAAAGAACCGTTATGAATTTTGCTAGTTGATCATCTCACTATACCACGAATTGAATAAAGTTGAGAACACGTTACAATTACTGTTGTTATTTCTCGTAAATCGTTGACTAATTTACATATTCATTAGTTATTTCCCGAATTTTGTTCATTTTATATTGAATAAAATTACTTTTTCTTGTACTTAACTTTTCTTAAATATATATATCTTTTGGTTTCCCCTTTTTGTTATATATATATATATATATATATATATATATATATATATAGACCGAGTGAAAATTGATTCGCTTAAGGCTACTAGATATGGTTTGATATTCTTTCACCTCATTGTTCTTTTTATATCCTACTCTTCAAAGTTCATACAGAAAATCAACTATACATAAAAAGAAAAATCGATCAATCTTGTTTACATATAAATAGGAATTTTAATTAACAGTAACAAACTAAAATGAATGAAAAAAAGATTTTCTTTTTCTTTTTTTCTTTTTTTCTGTAAATGTAAAAATACTAATGTCATAAATGAAATACTTTTTGTTTTCTGTTTACTTTATAGAATGTTTATTGTTTGACAAGATCTAATCATATTTCAGGCAGAAATTCATTTTTCGTTATTGAACTTTATGAAATGAGTTCGAATAGATCAATAAATGTTTATTTTCTATAAAGTTGATGAGGCTGTTAGGATCACGATAGTTAATAGTTTTTAGTAAAAATTAAAATTCATTATGAATTAACATGAAATTGAATATTTTATTCTTTAATAAATTACTGAAAAGTAGAGAATTGTTTCATTCAACTCATAAAGGTCTATTTAATACTGCTCATTTACAATTACAAACAGAGTGAAATTTAGAATTTACAAATGTCATGATGAACAGTATGGATTGAGATATTTTTGTTGCAATATAACAAAAGTCAGTTTAATGCTTCCTAGACCACAATAGTTCTACAGGAATCTTCATATAAACACCTTGTTGTGTAATGACTATTTGTATACCACTGATTATGTGACAGTTCTCTATAAGTTTCACTATGATTTAGTATTCAAGTTTGCAGTCAGAAAACAACTTACCGATTATCCCTTTGAATAAAAAAATAATGAAAGCAAAATGTTAGAAGTTTGGATTCTGCTTTGACATTCTATTGTATCCACTGAGTATCCTATGTTCCGTTTTATTTGATTTTGTTTACATAATACTGTTTGTGACTACATATGTTTCAAATACTTTTCAACTATTGTCATTTCTTCATGAAAATTAATCTAAAATCTTATTAAAATGTCACCATTGAAGTAGCCTATGAAATATAAAAGTATATTGTGAGCTGTTTGACTACAAAACTGAGGAAAATTAGTAGTTATTCTTAAAGTATTCCACAGATTTAATAAGCTGGTCAACTCCTTTCCACTTTTCCGAGGGTGTAAAATCTGATTTAGTTAGTTGGACGCCATTTAAGTAATGATCAGTATTTTAAGATAAACACGGTTGCTGGAATTTGAGTTTTATATCTACTGGGATGTTTATTTAAGTTATCAATGTATACCATGTCTATGTGTTTCGGCGAATGCATTAATCTAGCTTTCAAGAAAGCAGTGAATGTTTAGTGCATAGTTTTCTTATGCGTAAGCCACATGGTTTTGTTTGGTACTCATCAATATGTAGAAATAAAAAAATTCACCAGTGGTTTTTCTCGTTAATTAGTTAAAAAGCTATTTCTTTAATCTGCGTGTTTGGTTTTAATAAGTATGAAATCAATAAAACAGTTACAAATTTAAATATGTGTGATTCGAACTAGTAAAAGTAAGTTAAGGCTTTAATGCTCACACAATACTTAACACTTCTTGTTAAATCCACCACAAGTTTGTTATCTCACAAACAATGAGAAATAGACAGTATTAGTTTATTATGTAGATTATCAGAAATATTCCTTATTTAAGTAATTTGATTAATAGGGAATAATCATGGCTACCTTTTATTAATTGTGGTCGGTTAACTTTTTGTCAAATACCTTTATGTAGTATGTTCTTGAGATGGTAGGGATTTGTGGCTCAGGTGGATGATTTCACTCGAATTTTGTTCTTTGAGTTGAATGGTTTAATCACGAAGCTTTCATTGTTCATATGTTCATTTATCCAACTGGTTTATTGAGAGCATATTTTTATCTGAGTAAAACAATTCTCAACTGTCATCCAAAAGAGAATACAATAAAATCTCATTTATTTATTTTTATGCAACACTATGGAAGTACGGTTTTCCAAGCTCATGGTCATTAGCTTTGTTATAACGCAATGATATCGCCAATTAGAGAACAGTGTCTTATCAACCAGACCAATGATACATAAACCAGCACGAACCGTATAGAGTCCATATCCGTCCTTCTTCCTGCTTAGCCTTGCCTCTTGAGTTCAGAACAGAGATCTCACCCTCCGCGATATGAATCATATATTTTAAACATACTGGTTTTATATACAAACCAAACAGACCACATCGTTCATTACTTAACATTATCCTGTATGTTGCAAATGATTTATTTACATTTTCATTACACTTTTGAATCCATTCATCATTTAGGTTAATAACATCTCCAAACACTAATTTTCCTGATTACTGCTTATACTCTTATTACCTCTACCACTATGGGATTTGAATCGGCCACTGCATCTCTGTGCTAATGTGGTGTGGCAACTCGAACTGATGTACGTACGTACGAAGTTCTACGTTGTTACTGACTGACTTAGGTTAATTACATAACAGATTATTTAAATCATACTGATAGTTTATTGATATGAAAAATGTTTTCATTCATAAACAGGACCTGTGTTCATAACATCATGGTAAACCGATCCATATATATTCTCACCATATAATTACTAAAACAATTATACGATGAAATCCTTAGTTATTTCTTATGCTCATCGAAAAATCAATTAAACTAGTATACGTTTTAAAGCTAAAGCCTATATTAATAAATAGTTATGCGATATTAAATATACTTGATTATTTCAATCAATCTCATTAATAGAGTCACTTAAAACAATAGATATATCATCAGGTTTAGATGAAATAAGTGTGTCACTTTATTTGTCTAATTTGTATAGCATGTCCACTGTGAATGTATTAATTTCTTACAACTTTCAAGAGTACTTAGTCATTGATATTTATGTTTAGGAAATGTTTCGTTACACCCATTTGTTTTACCTTCTATTTCCTTTACTTAATAAACAAAACTAAATTTCATTATGTTTTGGGTTATGATATATAAATCTTTTGATTAAAATTGATTTTTTATTATCTCATTATTTTCATTTTTCATCTCTGTTTCTCGTTTCTTTTGATAGAAATAAAAACTGAATCAAGTGCACTTAATGATCAAAATGTAATTATTTGTAATAATAATGATATCAGTGGTAAAAATAGTTATGATGATAATAACGTTGGACCAACATGTTATACTAAATCGTGTTCATCATCAGTATCTTTATCGTCACTTCGTCGATCGGCTTCCTTTTCTCCTTCCACTTCATCTCATACGTCTCCACTTTCAGAACCATCTGTACATAGTTCTTATCATGCTGAATCATCATCCGGTCATCCAGTGGAGTCTGATGTAAGTAAACAAAAAGAACAGAATAGATATGAAAAATCACCTTCGGTACTTTCACAATCAAAACAAGATCGTAATTTAAGTCATAACGATCAAAATCATACTCATCGTCGCCGTCAATCTGGGACTACAAAAAATGTTCATTCATCATCTACAATACCTAATGAACGGTATCGTTCTTCCCCAGATTTATCAAATGAAAAGTGTCATAAATCACAACCAAATGAAACCATCACAACAACAAATAATCCATACTTTGGTGCAACTGGTCAAGAATTATTAGAAAATAGAATGGTTGGTATAAGTGAGTAGAAAGTGTTATTTTTTTTTACCTATTTTTTGATTTATGTTGTAATTTAATTGTGTGGAAAGATCTTTAAATGTTTTGTGATTGTTCACTATTTTAACGCTTTTTGTTTTCATTCATAATTTACGTGAGTAGTTGTATTTAAGTAACTTGATTTATGACACTGATGTTAATCTTGGCTTACAGAAATCGAGAAAATTCATTATTCCATTTGACTAAATATATTTTGAACAGGTTAAATGGAGATATTTGCAATATTTGTTGATGTTTTGAAACATTTTTCTACAGTTGTATACAGGAATAGAACAGTGTTTGGATGTGTAATAGTTGCCTAGTTTATATTTTAGATAACTCAACTCGATTTTGAATCCTAAACTGTTGATTTTAGTAGGTTTTAGGTAATCAAAATTGGGTCGTATAAGTGAGTTCGCACTTTGACTTACGACCAAGTCGTACAATCTAGTCGATTAATTCAGATTCATACCAACATGTAGAACGAGATTTACACAATCATATAGTAACCATCATATATACTGTCCTTAAACTAGAACTTTGGTATCATATGAATGGTTATTACTCAACTGAGGCGTCATCGTTTACAACAATTCAGAGTTGTATGAGGGACCAAGAAGACCCTGTATATTTTATTTGTTAGTGTTTGATAAGTGTCAACACACTTAAGGCTAAAGTCATTTCCCCACAGATGCGATTGATGACAATGAATAAAGAACTAAATTATTCCAACACTTCATTATGATTTTCTATTACAATGAACAACTGTAGATAGTCTTATAAGTATATGAGTTTTGAGAATTTTTACTTGTACTTGTGAATGGTACATCATCTTTTGCTTAGGAACTATAAATCAATAATAACTGTATATTGAGAATGATTTTCCCATTCTACACGATGGATCGCTACAGTTTTCTTTGCATTTTATATGATTTTTATTTATTTCCTCTTTGTAATTCATCAGTTGATTATGCAGCGGCTGCTTCAGTGTCCAACTTACTTAATGAATGGCCAAATGCTCGTTTAGTTACATTGTATCGAAGTGGTCGTAAACGAATTACTTCTATGAATCGAAATCAAACAGATAATTCTGATACAAATCAACGTGGATATTCATCAAATAGTGGGAGAAATCTTGGTTTAAATATTGTTGGTGGTGATGGTTCAGAAGCAACATTTATTTCTCATATACAACCTGATAAACCTGCTGGTTTATCAAAAAGGATATTGGTTGGTGATCGATTGTTAACAGTAAGTTTTATGAATTTTATATGAGCGAAAGTATGAATTGATGAAAATACACGTCTAAATAAGTGTTCATTTAATTGAAAAGACATAACAAAAGTACAATATAATTCAATTATCTAGTACAAACGAATTTTCAATTATAAAACGTTCACTCATGATTGAACAAATTTTCTTTTGAAAATATTTTATTGAAACATTTCTTTTTCAATACTCAATTTATTGTATTATGTCCGACATAATGCTTTTCTGTACACCATATTTCTTTTGTGTATTGTAAAATTAATAAGACAGATAATATTAAACTAAACTGTTCAAAATTTAAAAAAGAATAGAGTTGAAAATAACCTTTATTGCTGACCTGTATCATTCAGAGAAACTCTGGAATCCAAGGACAAATGATCGGCTGTTTTATACTAGCAAACTTTATTATTCCATTCTAAAACGTCCGTAATAAATAAGAACAAGTAATTTGAAGTTTCTTAATGAGCACAATACATTCGAACTACTGAGTTGAAATTTAATAATTCACATTTCTAAATCTTGTCAATATAGAATGATTAGATGTAGAGTTATAAAAATGCAAAAGTGGATAGTGATTTTTATCTTTGAATTGAAAAGGATATTCATATACCTCATGTGAAAAATTTCCTTAAAAACCTACATTTCTTGATGTGATACCAAACAGCAATAAAATATTATCGTATTGCAACATAAAAATTTTATTTTATGTTAAACGGTTGAAGGCAGTTTACAAAAAAATACTACACCTATATTCCGTGCTAGTTTTAACTCATCATCGAGATATACTTATAACCTTGAGGACTTGATACTCTGTCCCGTATTTGAGCCCAGGTTACTCAGTAATGACTGGTTAACTGTAGATGATTTGAATATAAGGCACTACAATACATACTTTACGTTTGAAAAATGACAATATATAGCTTGTAGAATGTGAGTTTGTTCACTATAAATTTATAATGGCAACAAGTCTATTTACTAATTAGCATATTACTTTTGAACACCTTTCAAGATTTTTTACACATTTTCTTAGAAAAACAACTTTAGCATAAAAAATTGTACATAAGCGTATTCCATCACGTTACTGTTTGATCTTATTCCAATAATGATCAAGATCTGATTTCACCTGGATATGTCATATAAAATCATAATCAACTTAACTTCACTCTGGTAAATTGATACATGAGATAAAATTATGGTATTTTTAAACAAAATTATATTTATTGCTGTAATTTAATTGATGAACGAGTTACCAGGAATCTATGAACTTGTTTTTCTGCAACCTGGTATTAAAATCTGTATAAATTCCACTTATCGGATCACCTATCTAGTCGTATATTTCTGTCAGCTTCAATTCCTTATATTGTACACTTATTCGATCATTTAACTCTTTACTGTGACTTGATTTTCATTACATCTCATTCGATTTCGTACGAGGATTGACATGAAATACAAACCGTTATTGAATAAATAGGCACTGTAGCAACAATTAACTTTTAGTGAGCTAAACTAACCAATGGATTTGGGAGATGGACATACAGCGTCATGGATTTATTGCGACTAAAAAGGTAAGCTACTGAATGCCAAGTAAGTGATTTGAAGGCCGTTTTCACGTCACGAAACCCATCTTCTATAGGACCCAGGATTTTCACATACTCCAACACAATAACTGTCCTATGCTTCCTGATTATCAGCCTCTATCTAAGATCAGTCGATGATGCAGACTACTAAATCAACCAAGCTATGAGAAGTATTTTCACCTGCAACAAACCATTAGGTTAACCTCACGTTATATACAGTAAAATCAAAAAAGTGGCAATGTATTTTCTTGGGTGTGTTACTTTTCCTAAAAAAATAACAAATATAAAATACTTCTTTCCTGTTCAATGAAACTGTTTATCATCACTTTTGACTTGAACGTCATAAGTGTGTATTTAAAATAAATATTGATATTCTTGTCTCTTTCAGTGGTATGTTTTCAAAATCAACGAATGAAAGAAAAGAAAGCTTGAATACTTTTTTTATTCTAAAGGGATATGTTTATTTATTTTCCTTTCCCATCTCTTTGGTTTGTACTCATTGGTTGATTTATTTTTATTAGTTTTTTATGAGTTAATTATTTACTTGTAATTGACATAATACAAGCAAAATTTAGTTTTGTTATTTAGTGTTCACTAATGTAATGAATGTTTTATTTTTTGTTTTGAGGACTTTTGACATAAAGAGGTCAATTCACACATATCAGAATTATCCTTCATAACATATGATTACAAAAAAAGTAGAAGTGCTTTTAGATAAAGTTTTGATAATCGCTATCAGCAAAGTCCAGGACGCGCGTTTCCGTGCACTTGGAGCTCGTCAGCTAGATATATCTACACCTCAGGGTTGATGTTCTCTATGAAACTCAAACCCCGTTTCTTTCGTTTCATATGCTTATTTTTTAAGAACCCGGTTTTCTTAAACATCTGTCTAGTACTGATAGTAAGCGTGATTGTATAATAACTTCTATCGAGTTATTGTAGAAGAGGAATATTCAGTAAGGCTACATTATTGTCTTTACTCAAATTTTATTAGGTTAGCTTATGTCATTTATCACGTGCAGCCTTAGATAAGCCACACGTAGCCACACTTTTTGTTATAAATAATGATAACGTACTTTACCTAAACCGAGTTAGACAGATAGGTGTTCGAACCTGCAAAGTCAAGTGTTATGGTTTGCTGAAATATCGTTTAAAATTGTACCATATGATAACTATCTTCATTTTAAACTTATGCTACATCTTAATCAACAGAAGAGAAGAAAAATACATATTTTTTCAGTGACTTATGAAATTTTAATATTACATATGTTACTTACTTAATCATAAACAGTACTATCATGTCTAGTCTCTATAATTAAGCAAGTTCTATCGACCAATGTTTGTGCACCGGCAGTTAGTTCCAATTATTAGAATAATTTTGTAATAACAACTGTGTTAAATGTATTTGATTTTCTTACAAAACAACAGTTTTCTTAAACTTCATAGATAAAGTTCAGTGGTGAGAGACATAAAAAACAACAACAGGGAATTGAATTTCTAAAGTTTCTCTCTATCTTCACTAATCGTTTTACAAGATTAAATTAGTCTTGACATGTGATGATAAATTTCCTTTGATTTAAAATGACATCCACCAAATAAGTTTTCATTTTTAAAGATAAAACCTTTTTTTCTGTATTAATTTAAACTAAAACAACATGTGAAGCAAAAAAAACTGATTGTTGATAAATGCAAAATATTTTTCTCCGTATGAAGACTTGGAGAGACGTATCTTCCAATTTTTGTTTCTTTTTATAAAGAGGGGTGTTTAGTTTGCTCATTGTCATAAGTGAAATAATGTTTTTGGTTGAATTATTTATTTTTTTTCTTCAGGTTGACTAAGTTGAACAGTTGTTAATCAGAAAAAATGAATTTTATGAATTTTTTGTTAGATTCTCTGTATACTTCACTTACTGTTTTTAATGGTTACACTTAGTTTGTTCTACTAAATCCCAAATTAGATACATGGTAATGCAGTAAAATAAAATTACTGTATTTCTGGAGATGGGAAACAAGACAATCAAATGAGGAAAACTTTCTTTTTATTATTATCATTCATTGAAAATGTACAATTTTATTTATGTTAATTTAATATAGTAGTTTATTAAACATTAGAAAGTGGTTACATAATATAATTTTTAGAAATTTCTTGTGTCACAAGTAACTTGCGTAGTGATCAACAGGTTGAAGAAAAATAATTAGATCAAAACAGAAGTGTCAGAAGTGATTTTCACTCGACAAATATAAAGAAAGAGAGCAAGAAATGAAAAAAATTAAAGAGACGATGATAACAAACAGTTATGAATAAAGGAAAACTGAAGATGTTCAATCAGTGGTTGGGTAAGAGATTGCATGCACTGCTTAAAACTACTACAGATTCACTAAATAACATTGTCGAGAAGAAAAATTTCTTCGTCGAACTGTTTTCATCTGATGACACTGATAAAACTTATATTCGTGATACATAGACGAATAATAATAACTTTGATAGTGTTTATCTACAAATACCCTATATAAATACTATTACTATGTATTATAGAATTGTTGCTCTGTAGTTTTAATAACTGACGATTAAATATATGTAATCCAACATTTTTTTATCGATACCGTTAAATCCAACACTTTCAGTGTGCCGTATAACCTAACACACGAATATGGTAATAACTGTTTCGGCCAAATGAATAACGAGCATATTATTCGATAGTGGTATATCACTTCAATAACGTCTCTTACAGATCAGTTTGGTTGGTAAATTTATAAAGTGTGACCTCCCTTGAGTTTACGCTCAAAATTCTATATTCCACAGCAAACATAAGTTACATTAATCATTAAATAATGCATTAGTAAGTTGGACAATTAATCAATTTCCCACTACAGTGATGAACAAGTTGTGCTGTATCCAGTTTAAGGAGGATTAAACAAGACATTAAAAAAGAAAGACTAGTTCAGCGAATAGTTCTTTTTTCGGTGAATTCATTTTCAAAGCTGTACAATCGCAAATATATATACTTATTTATTTTGAAAATGAATTCGCCGAAAAGAGAACTCTTCGCTGAACTAATCTTTCCTATTCAATGTCTTAATGGCTATATTCCGTTTACTAAAAAAGACATTAAAACCTGAATAGACAATAGTGGAAAGTGTAGAAGCCATTCATTTTCAAGACGTATCACAGTTTACTACGCAAATTCTGGATTTCTTACAAACCACTTGACTAGTCTGTGTTGTAATGATTCCTATAACTCATCTAGGCAGATCAGGTTAGTTTAATCAATATTGGTCATAGATTTAGATGAATATAACTAGAGTTGTAAATTTATCTGGTATTTCAATGGTCCCAATTAAGTTGATGTTAGTAGTTATTTGTACTCACATTACTGCTGTGTACACGTACTCATATTTACTCATCTCTTGATATAAATTTAAGGTCTCCTCAACTTAAATAACTAATAAATTCCAATATGCCAATTTATAAATCAAAGAGTTTGCGCGAAACCGAAATTCCTGGGTTTGAATCCCACCTTCAGGATCGTGGGTGTGCTCTGCTAAGGAATCCTATACTAGGGCAGGTTTTCAATGGCGGTCTAACATTGAATGGTTCATGATTTATGAAATTCAACATTTTCCACAATCCCAAACTAACAATTTTTCAGTTTTATATTCGTTTTATTCTATTAATTATACATCATGATCGTGTACAATTATGTGCTTAAGTAGCATTTTTACAAATCCAAAAAATCTGAAAACAATGGTATTTGTAAAGAATCACCGTATTGGTTGGTATAATTTCCTCCTCACTTTTCTTTCGAAAAAACAAGTAGGGATTACTGCACAATTCATAAATCGAATATATTATGGAATGAAACATCAAATAACAATACTGGCCGTTAACAACTGATAATGAATGTGAATAAGAAATAATCATTGTTTAAATCGTTTTTAAACACTTTTTGATTATCTACCAGGTGAATGTACATAAGGCCGAAATTTATTACAATATTGGACACTTTGCACAGAAATCAAGCACGTGCTGAGTAAAGTGATAATAATAGTTATGATTAGAATTGATTATTCTCAAAGATGATGTCATCTTTTGTTTTATTCATATTTACCTCAGGTTAATGGCATAGATGTCTCTAAGTACGGGCACGAGAAAGCGGCTGCAGCTTTACGAGATGCGCGTGATCGTGTTGATCTTCTTCTAGTCTATAGTCCTGAAGGTAAGATTTCTTTATATCACAGTACAAGTTGAGCTATTTTGGGTTTATTAAGCACAGTTTATTCAAATTTGACATAAGAAATGCTTACACTTTATGAATTCTTGTTAAAAAAATTACCTTCACAAATTTAAAAAACGTTTCGAAAAAAATGTTTGCAGAATGCGATGAAGTCATTGTATTTCATCGTTTTTTTCTCAGGCATATATGAGCTAATCTGTTTAGCGAATGGAAAATATTATTTTCGTAGAATTTCTACAAATTAATAGTTTTTTGAAAGACATCGACCAGCACTTAGTAAATGAGTTACGTAACTTACTCTTCAGATCATTTTAAAATATAAGAATAATTAGAAATTTGATTTACGCACAAACATTATATATTATTATCATATATTCATTACTTCAATCGATTATTTGAACCATTGAATTGTGACACTTTCTAAGTGTAGTTGAGGAAACTTTCAATTAATAATAATCATTGGTCATTATTAAAAGATCTCTAGAATACCTCACTTACACAAATGGCTCCATTATAAAACTGATCGGTGGAGTTTAATAGGCTCAAAAGGCTAGGTAGCATGATATTAATTACTATTTAATGGCTGTTCAATATGTTAAAAACACGAAGTTCAGCGAATGGATCTCTTTTTAACGAATTTATTATCAAGCCGTACAATCGTATATACATGAAAACTTTTTTATTTAAATTACAAGTTCTGCGAGGAAATGTAACTAAGTAATAACGCAGATGATGTAATAGAAAGTCTATAATACTAGATTACGTAAAATGAATAATAACATTAGACTTAATAAGTTAGTAACGAATTATAACATGAATGTCGTAAAATGATTAAAATGTCTTTGTTGCAATTATTATAGGTCATAGAGGTGTAGAAAATAAATAAAGTTATATCATGAGCACTGCTGAAGAGTTCCACAGTAGAACGAAACGGGCGTACAGTGCTTTCAGGTTTTCGATGGTGGTCTAACTTCAGTTGACTCATGATCTCAACGATTAAAATCACTATAATATCCACAAACCCCTTCTGATATTAATCAACATATGCTCACTAGTGACTGGCTTCAAGAGGTATTTCCTGGCGTTCTAGTGAGAAGCAGTGACCAATGGAGTTCAACCGGGTGTGTTGTGAGAAAGTAACTCACTGAAGACAATGATGGGTGGGTCGCTCAGTTTCGTAGATTAGTTGACGTTAGACATTAACACCATTGGATGCCGGCTCAGTGGTCTAATAGTTAAGTGCTCGCGCGCGAGACTGATAGGTCCTGGGTTCGAATCTCGCAGGAGGCGGGGTCGTGGGTGCGCACCAATTAAGAGTCCCATAATAGGACGAAAAGGCTATCCATTGGTTTCAGGCTTTCCATGGTGGTCTAGCTTCAATTAAGTCATGGTCTCAACTCTTAAAATTACTATAATATCCACAAAACCCTTTCTGATACTAATTAGGAATAAAATAATGACAATATGAGATATAGGTATAGGGAGGTATGCAGTAATAACAATAGTTAAGGACAAAGTAAATATAACGATAGGACGTAATTCTTTTATACACATAGTTCTGCCTTGAGCTCATGGATGGGAAGAGCTTCAGTTATTTCTAGGAATTGGATATGAAAAAATCTGGATAGATTTAAACGAATCGTATATACAATTTAAAAATCAAACTGTGGATCATTAAAATGTTTACAGTCGATTAGATGTTCAAATATGGAACTCCTTATGCTTTCCTTTCACCCTTGTAGAACCACACTGGGTCATGTTCCCGTATCTGATTGTAAGACTGCGCAGCTTGATAATAAATTCGTTGAAAAGGAATCCCTGTGCTTAACTTCGTAGTTTTAATGTTTAAATAGGAATCATTTGTTCAATATATGCCTAAGTTGTCTAATATATCTCCCCTAGGTCGGTTGAATTCATTCACTTGATTAATGATCGATTTATTTGTCTGAGGAATTCAGTAGCAGTCAATATTACCTTGTTATAATAAAATACGTGAAATAATGTCAAGTTCCTCTTACATTCAGTGTGTTGTGTCACATCGAATTCTTTAATAATACTACTGACCATTAATGATCGAAAAAGACAAATCATTCTTATTGATTAGCTTTCCGAATCAAACTACTCTTTAGGACGATATTTTTGTGAATTTTGACGAGGCATTTTAAAGTAGCTACTTTGTGTACATACGTATGCAAATAATAACTAGAGAGTAGTTCTATTTATATCTCATCTGTTTTATTTTGGACCATATGGTTATGCGCTAATGGACAGTAGTCTTTTTATATCTCATATTCAGTTTTGTACAGTTATGTATTTGTTTACTTATTTACTCTAATCACTATCTTCTCATATTATATGTGCATAAAATCAGTATGATGTAACCATCGATGTTGATACTAATAATAATATTACTACTAATATTAATAGGAATGGTACATTTGCCAACTTTCATGATGATAAGAGCAGAAGGGGAATATTTCTTTTTGGTCTGATGTTAATTATCATTCAGTCTCATCAATCATTCATCTTGTTTGCAAAAATGTAAATTTACATATAGCAAAAGGATGCATAAAATAATTAAACAGATCAAAATTTTCTACTGCATTATTTGAAGAAATAATTTTTTATAATATCTATACATCAAATAGAATTTATAAAATAAAAAGCGTGAATGGTTTATGGACTGAAGAAATCTGAAACAAGAGTTCAGTTCTAATTTGCAAGTGTAGTAAATAATATTTTATAGTTTTCTGTATGACTTGAAGTTCTATGCTCATAGATTAATTAAATATGACAATTCATATAAAGTTTGTAAAGATTCATTCAATTCAAAAATATTATACTAACATGAACTGATATCATTTATATAGCCATTGAGAATAAGGAACAAAAGCGATTTGTTTTGTTCTATATTTTTCTTTACTTCATCCAAACGTCAAATCATGAATGCATACTACTGATGAGTTTCAAATAAGAATGAAACAGCTTTTTAAAGCTGCATTGTTTATAAGGCCTTTCTGGATAATGTCAGTTCGTAATGAAAGTTAATTATCAAGTTGAACTTCTTTAGTTCACTGGTGAATTGGTAACTTTTTTGCTTAAATTTTAATATGATATATATATATATATATATATATATATATATATATATATATATATATATATATATATATAAAGGAGGAGGGTTGGGCATGGGGTCGTGATTCCCATCCTGTAGAATAGAAATCTTGCTAAAAAATCGCCAACCAGGTTATATATATATAACTAGTTAAGTATTTACTGTTGTGATTTAGCAGATCTTAAGTTGTAGCCCATGTCTACTTAGTTTGGGTTTAATTGAAGATCTGTGAGTGGAATGAATATACATCTAGTTGATGAGTCATAAATAGAGCTTTATATGTATCCTTGGTTGTATGCTCCTTTCGTCCATTAGATTGAATAAAGAAACATATTCTACTTAGCTTTTTAGTATTTGTCCTATGCTAAATGATAATAATGACAGTAATTGTAACTCATTTGTCAAGTACAATTTGATTTGCTTGTTCTAAAGTTACATCTGTGTTAGGGCTACTATCCGTCAATTGAATCGGAGTTCTTGAGTTATTGCTTCTAGGGTACAGCATCCTTTCCTCTCTTTATTCCTCTATAATAATTGCTTTTATCAAGAAGCAATCATTATTTAGAACATTTTTAATCATTCTGAAATTCTTAAAATAGATTACTGTTTGCACAAATGCGTAATTAGTTTGTTTACCAATAAAATTGTCATGCCTTTCAATAGCTAACTAGAACAAAGTCATGAAAATCATACAGTTGTGGCTTGTTTGATGAATATTATGTGTTTGAGAACAATAGTTTTGAATAAAGGATTTGTGATTATAAGCGATAACTAATGGCTTTTCATGCACCATGGGATGCTACAATATGACTCAATTTCTTAATATTTTTCTTGATTTGATTCTGTATTGAGTGCTTTGTTGAAAATAAATTAAACGTCACAGATAATGGACTACTTGAAAAATTGTGATTAACATTTTTAAGAAAAGTCTGTATCTCATGGTAATGTATTCTCAAAACTACTAATCTTTTTTTAGTTAATACTGTATTTCAACAGTTTCTAAAAAGTGTTATTTGGTTTTATCTGTGTAATCTCTTGAAACCATCAATTTCTACATTCTAATTATCAGTTTTCTTTTCGAATTCATGATGATTTTTATTCAATAATTGTTATTACTTAGTTTTTCAGACTATTTTTGATTAGTGAATGACACTTACATACATTCATTTATAAATCTACGGTATTTCTTGTAAACGTTTTATATAGAATATGCCAGTTTTGAGCAACATTTCAGTCGTCAGCTTAAAGCAGTTGGTCATAAATTATCTTATAAATGTTTACATTCACTGAAAGCTAAAACTGCCAATGGAACAAGGACAGACAGTATAGACAAAGAATCACCAATTACCAGTTGTCAAGATAAAAAGCAATCTGGAATGAGTAAAGATAAACTGAAACAAAAAAACACTGAACATATTGATAAAAAAGGACAACAAAATCGTCAACAGAAGCAAAAGCGTCAACTAACGAATGAAGCACCTGGCGAAGAGAGAAGACATGAAGAAAATGAAGCTAATGAATTGAATGAATATCCTCATGTATTGTTATTACGCTCTCAAGTTGATTATGACCCAATGAAAGAGAATCATCACCAGGCTATACCTAAAAAAGTATTCACTCTAAAATCGGGTGATTTGGTTCACGTTATTAATACAGTTGATCCTGAATGGTGGCAAGTAAGTGCGTTTCTTTTTGTTTTTCTGGATTGCCTGGTTTACTAATGTAAACTTAAATGGACATAAAATTTATTGTATCAACCATAGACAATATTTAGTAGAGTAATCGAAGTATCTGGTAACTTTATTAACAACTGTGAAGATACAACAATCTCCGCAAATCCCCATACTGATAATAATCATGTACTCCTCAGTGACCATCTTTAAGATGGAACTCCTGGAGTTCTGGTGGAAGCTGTGACCAGTGGAGTCTAATCAATGATGGTTTTGAGACAGTTATCTACTTCAAACAATGGATGAAGAGTTGTGCAAGTTCATGGATCGACTAAAGTCAGACATTAACACCGTCGGATGCCGGCTCAGTGGTCTAGAAATTAAGCGTTCGCGTGCGAGACCGAAGCTCCTGGATTTGAGTTCCACGTGCGGGATCGTGGGTGCGCAACCCTAAGCAGTCCCATACTAAGACAAATAGGCTGTTTAGTGTTTCTAGGTTTTCAGTGATGGTCTAGCTTAGATCGACTCGTGAATTCAATCGTGAAAATACTACAATTCCGACAAATCCCCATACTGAAAATTAATATTTTTGAATAGAGCAAGATCAACTAAGGTTGCAGAACAAAATAAATTCATCAGTATGTTTCACGGTTTCTTATTATCTGTAGACAACCTAAAATTACAGTTATTAATATAATTAATAACATGTTTGGCATACTTTATTTTGTAAAGTTTAGATAAATATTCGAAACGTAACCAAAATTGTAATAATAAGAATAAGACTACAAAGTTTATGAATAAACTTAGTTAAGACCGATGTGTATTTATGTGTTAGAAAGTAACAACGCCGAGTTAAACATGTTTCATAGTAATCAGTAGTCATAATTAAGATCAAAGAGGTTAGGTAAGAGTAACGAACTTGACAACTGACTGCATAACCATTCAACAAGAAAAGAAATAAAATCAATTAAGTTTGTGAACATCAATGAGATTATGTAAGAGATCAATATAAGACGAAAATACAGGCATAGTTGAAAAATTTAATGAAAGTTATTTGATAAACCATAGGAGTGAATGGCTAACCACACTTTTATTCTGTATACATTGGTCAGGTTATAAAAATTTAATAGCGATTGCCACTGCTAAACGGAATGAAATTGTTTTTTGTCAGCTAGTTAATTTACTAAATTATTTATATTCATTTCATATTCGCTGTCTAAATAAATATGTGTTCCACTACTATCTTGGGTGAAATTACACCTGTAGAATGAATAAGACTGAGTTAAATTGTTGTATTGTAATAGGGTGTACTAAAATATAAACCTGCGTTATATTGGGTGTTCTCAATTAATTTAGAGCTTATAAGCAAAGATGCATGGTGGCTAGCAGTGGAATCCAGGACGCGCGATTCGTCCTATTTGGGACTTGTCATCTGGATGTATCTTCACCTCAGAGTTGATGTTCACTCCGTGACTCGAACTCAGTACTGTTCGACTCAAATGCTATCAGTGGAAAGATTCAAGTAAACAATACCGAGTGAATTTGAACTTCACCCCATTGCACAAGCAAGTGACCATCAGGAGTCAGTAGCTAAGTCGATAACGTGATGGAGTTTGAAGTGAACGCTACTGGTTCGAGTCCCAGAGTGAACATCAATTCTGTGATGTAGGTATACCTGGCTAACGAGTCCCAAATAGTACGAAACACGCGTCCTGGATTCCACTGCTAGCCACCATCCGTCTTTGCTTATAATGCTTGTGACTTAAGGCAATATCGAGGCAATCCGCACAGGATGCACATATGCCAATGAGAGACTGATTAATTGCAGTCCTAAACATCAGTGGGAAGATTCAAGCAAAGAATACCAAGTGAATTTAATTTAGAGCTTCTTTCACACATAATGCATAACTTTGAATAAATTCATTTTTCTATCTTTTTCTAATGTAATCATATTACTCGCTATGAATTAGAGCATTTCTTTAATTAACTCATTATTCATGTATGATGTCAAGAGAAAAGTCGAATTTATTATGCTATTTACGTCACTAATAATAAATCTTTCATCCTCCATTACACTATACATCAAACATTTGATAAATCATGAAATTTCCTCAAGGAGACCAGTAAAAACCAAAACAAGTTTCTGAATGTTTTCAATTTATGGCTCTTGAAATTGTACCACAATTTATAAATTTAAACAAGCATACAATTAAAAGATGTTTATGTAAAATAACCAGTTGTTGTGTGAATAAGGAACTCAACTTGTTCATCTTTTCTTATACAAAATAAACATATTGAATCTGTAATCGATATCACTAATATTGTTATGACCTAAGTTTTATTTCCACTTCATTTAACATGTTAATGTGAAAGTGCTATCAGTTTGTTTAATTTTTTTCTTTAATAAGCAGATTGATGGGTAGTAATGATAATTTAGATTGGTGTTAAAATTACTGACCTGTCCCAGAATATTATTTCCACTAATTTTTCTTCCCTTCATTGACTAGCATAAGTTTTTCTCTTTAATAAGTGTTGAAGTCAAGCAATAGTTCAATAGCTTTCAATCTTTGGAAATAACTTGGTTATTATGGTAGATCAGTAGTAATAGAAGTTGGTTCAACTAAAAAAGTGTTTTGATTCTTTGGAATATTTAGTTTATAACTTTGGGTGTGTTGTACAATAACACCGTGATATACATTTCAATTTTTTTAAATACTTACTTACTAGGCCCAGAGATTTGATCCAGAAACCAATGAACCAACTGGTCCAATCGGTCTAATTCCTAGTCGTTTACGCTTAGAAAGAAAAGAACGTACTAAGACACGTCATGTCAATTTTATGGCTAGAAACAGTCGATCTGTTGACACACCATCAATTAAATCAAATGATCCCTATGAAAGAAGACGAAAAAAGGAGAAACAGTCATTTAAAACATCTAACTCAACTCATTCTTTGGTGGAAACTGTTAATCAATCTAGAGATTTCTATTATTCAAAAAACAATACGATGAATAATAATTTTCCGCGTAGTTCAAGGAATAAAAGTAAGTTTGTATATGAAATTATATATATATTTCCCAGTCACTTCAGTAGATGAAGATTCACAATCTTATCAAACGATTTACACTTCAAATCACTCTATAAAAGTTAGATTATTGGTGATATGTCATACCTAAGGATAGTTGATTTGTATAAATACCTCACCCGTTTCCGCGTACCTACGGTTTCATAGCAATTTTTCATTTTCTCCAAAACGTTTTTAATTTGGTTATGTTATCCAGTGATCTATGTGGTCCCATCACCGATCAACTTGTAATTTAGTGTGACACATTCGTTGCCGTCAGTAATTAATTAGGTCTCACTCAGCTTGGCCGAACCTCAATAGTTTCGGGTCTTGACTAATACTTCTGGAATTCGCATCGAAAGCACTCACAAAGTATTGTCGAATGGAAGAGATTTTTAGAAACTAGTTCAACACAGTTTTCATGACACTACTGATTTAGGACAAGACTTCTGCTTAGATCTTCTTGATTTTCAATAGCACTTTAATTGATATTAATTTGTATTGAAACAGTGTTCGTAAATTTATTTATCGAATACTAATTTTAGCTGTGACGCAAGTGTAGATAATATGATTGACCACTTTTTAAAATAATTTTAATGATTTAGCGTTTCCATCAAGATGATTTGTCCTATGTAGAGAGTTTGAACTAGGAATCAGTTCAATGAACTATAAACAGATTTCTATCCCTTCATTCACGCAACATTGAGGAATGTATATTTTGTTAATTTTTACTCTGCTTACTATTACCGTATATACATGACCGTTTTAGAATTATTCCGTCGTGAATTTTTGGCACTGTCACATTATCTGACTTGGGAAGTTTTACTGCAAAGTTTTCATCGTCTTCTGGATGACATGTTCAGTTTTCTGATTAAATCATCCAGTTTATATTATGCAACAGTACTAAAAGTATTGATCTGAGTTACAAACTTTCCACATCATTATTGGTCGTCTTTATTTAATAGGACTATGGCAATTTCGTTTCTTTTTGCATTAACAGATCGCAGTCAATCTCGCCATCGTCGTCATCGCGACCACCAACATCATCCCTTATCTTACATAGCTGTTACTCCGGTTCATTTAAGTTTTGCTAGACCTGTTGTTATATTAGGCTATATGAAAGATAGGATTGCTGATGAATTATTATGTGAATTTCCTGATCTCTTTGGAACCGCTATCCCATGTAAGTACTTGTTTTTAAAAACAACTAAATCTAATGTCTATTTTAAGTATGTTTACTTAGAGTTTATCTATTGGTCTTGTTATCTTCAGTTTATTTGGAGAACATAGTGTTTCTGGTTGCTAATACTTTGTATGAGAGATGTGTTTAGTCGGATACAAGTGAAAGTATCAATCCATAGTCACACTTAGTTGTATGACAAAAAAGAGATTTGATTAAACTTATCAGTATATTAAATTTAAACGAGAGAAAATAGAGGCGGAATAGCCTTTCTAGATATTCTACTTATAAACAAACTAGATGGGTCACTGAAAAAACAACCAAACAAGAGAAGTACTTAGGCCTTCCAATGCACAGATTTTCTTGGTGTTTTTTCTCTACAACATAAAAAAGAACCGGTTAAGACACTTCATTATAGAATTAGGTCAATATGCTTCCCAGATGCAGTTGGTGAAGAAACAAATACAGTGCGTAATTTCCCTAAAATAAGTGCGTATCCCGAGAAATTTATAAATAAACGTTTATCCAAGAAAAGAGAAAAGTGACGTCCTAACGGTCAGTCTATACTGCTAAAGTTCAAAGATGCAACAACCAGCAAAAATGCTAATGCTAAAGTTGAGTAGGACAAATCAAAGAACTTTTGATGCTGAAGAACAACATTTAATGTTTTCTACGCTTCCGATGATTGCTTCTAGACTCCTCACCTCTTTCGGAATTATTACTTTAGAACGATGACTATAGAATCTGAAGAGAATTTATTGAAAAGAATATTCTTCATTCATGTATCTGTGTTTTTAAAAAGATAATCGTCGTATTTGGTTCTGGCTGACAACTTTTTAATCCTTATTGTTACTTCCAAAATGATATTATTGTTAACGAAATATATAGTCTATTTAACCTCATATATCCTCCGTCGAATAATCACGTACATACAGAGTAAAAATTAAAATCTGAATAGGTGTTGCATATTTGCATTTCAGACATCCATGTGAGTAAGCAAACTGAACGAGTGAATATGAATAAATGAAGACAGACATATTTGCATTCAATATAATCGGTTAAGTTAGCAGTAAGCATTGGAAAGGTCAAAAAAAAACGTCAAGCATTAACATGTACCTGTCTATCATGTTTATTCACTATACGAGCGTAAATTTGATCAAATGCTTATGACTTAGGTGATTAAAGATTACAATAGGTCACTACAAGTTTAATCGGTATTATTAGCCATATTATTTCAGATTTCTTCGATCCAACTACCAGTTGATTTAATTTTAATCAAATGTCTTTTGTGTTTATAACGATCATCGTTTTTATTATCGATATCAAGAGTAAGTCATTGTCAGTTTTTGTGATAATTATCAATTTTTACATGTTCTTTGTGATTATTCATTTCATAAATCTTATCATCTTGTCAAATTTTTAAATAAAGTTAAATTATGTGATTATGAAGAGTTTTTACATCTACTATTCACATTGATTTACACTTGATTCAAAAGAAAAACTGAATTCATGAAATTATGACCTACATCTATTACTGTTTATTGGGAATTTCACTGATAAACTAGGTTGTCACGTTTTCCGTTTTAGCCTTTTTGTCAACTGTCTTTTTGATTCGTTCATACTATAAACATGTCATAAAGCACCATTTCAAAGTTGTTCGTATGATATTATTCGTTAATACAATTTGATTAACATCAACTGAGGGGAATGCACGTATAGTCCAAAAAAATCACATTGTTAAAGAGGAACACACATATTCATTCGAACTGGCTATTGTTATTAATTGTTTTAAAATCTCACTACTTGCCGTAAATTGTTTACAACTAAAAGATGATAATCTTTTTTAGCTAAATATTCTGTAATACTTAAATCCACTGTACGTTATATGGTTAATTAACCTATAGATTAAAATAAAATCAGATATTGAAAACTTTTGGATTAGACTCTGCCTTACTCATGAATAGAAAGCAAAATTCTCATCCCGATTATTATTGTTTAATTAAGTTGTTTGTGAATATCGATTCAATCTGAAGATTTTTGTCATGAATGTTAAATGTCTGTTGAAAACTATGAAGCAATAGAGAGGAGGTGTGTCGTATTACTCCATAGATCCCTTGTAATGTGCCATTCTGACTAAGAATTTTGCATTTTTCCCCTTCAGACATAACTGAAACCTTGAAATAAGAATATCACATTGGCTGCATAAAATATTGTCAACTAAATACTTTAAATACACACTCTTTCTTCACCAACTAAAAATATCTTTAATAGGTATTGCAATACTTATAAATTTCATTTTTTTTGTCCGTTTAAAGATACAACTCGACCACGTCGATCAAATGAAGTTGAAGGTCGTGATTATCACTTTGTAATCAGTCGAGAAATAATGGTCGCTGATATAGCTGCTCATAAATATCTTGAAGCTGGTGAATACAATGGCAATCTATATGGAACCCATTTAGATTCTGTATTTGAAGTGTCTGAATTAGGATTGCATTGCTTATTGGATGTTGGTGGGCCAGCATTAAAACGTTTAGAATCAGCTGGACTACCACCGATCGCTATTCTTGTGCTACCTGAGACAATACCAACTGATAAAAATGATATTAATGATGATGTCGATGACGGTAATGATAATGATGATGGACGTTCTCCTCGTTCAAATGAACAAACAAAACAGAAAAAACTTAAACTTAAAAAGTGCTCTTCTGTTGAATCTGCAGCTTTTAAAAGTTTACAAAGTAAACTTAGTCGTTTACTGCAGAATTTTACTTCCTTTTTGACAGGTATGTATCGTCGTTTTTTTAATGTATACCTTGATGAATTTTTAATTATGTAATTAAGACGGGGATACTATAGATTGAAACTAACATATAGTCATGTATATATAGTCTTCAAGAATAAAATGTTTTGGAATAGCACTTACAATAATGAATTGTTGCGAAATAAAGTTCTTCAAAGTATTTTGATTTATAAATTTGGCACATGAGTGTCTGGAATATTAAAAAAGTTAGTTGAAATAATAATTTCATTTTGAAGAAATCTTAGAAGACTAACTATTCCTAATCAAGTAATATAATGTAAATTATTCGTCTCGGTTTTGAATTAATCAGTAGTATTTGTTACAAGATACTCACTTTATTAAACTAAAAACAGAAAAATGTAATTTAAATAATATGTCGTTGTTAGAACCTTTAGTTCGAGTCCATCAGCAAGCGTTTTTTAATGAGACTACTATAGAGTGAAATTTATGCAGAATCAGTATTTCAAATTTTTACGAAGTATACTTTCGTAAACCAGTCACATACTTTGCAAATAAAAATTGTATCTTGAGGCATTGTCAGTCTACTATGAGGAAGTTTTGACACCAATCTCGAAGTATTAATGAAGAAAACAGAATATTTATGATCAATATATACTAGTAAACCATAGACATTTTTTTGAAATAAGTTCTAGCGATTGCTTGGGGTTTGTTTTAGGTGAATTATAAGCTGTAGTACAGAAGCTTTGGTGATCAATATTATGAAACTATATGAACGACTGTGTGTACAGAGAAACATCCTTGTATAATCTAGATAGGTCTATCCATAGAGTGTACAAATCGTGACATTCTATTGATGCTTACAAATATCTCTGTTAATTTTTTCTGTATTCCTTCTTTTCTTATCTTCATTCATTTGATTTCTATTTTCTGTTGATTACATAGCAATTATCACAACTGATGATTATGAAACAGCTTATAGCCGTGTTAAAGAAATCATATTCACTAATACTGGACCTATTGTATGGTTGAATTCACCTCAGCCAATACCATGACGAATGTAATAGTAATCATCAAATATTACAAATCAATCAATACATTTTATAGCCTAATCATTAGTATTATCATGAATGTTCATGTGTAAATAATATTTCTATCTTATTCAAATACTCAGTAATCAAATATTTTTTTCAGTGATCTTCCATGTTATTAAGCATTTATTTAATAAACGGAACTGTTACAAATAGAAATATCTAATATCTAATATTACAATGTATTCATGAAAACAATTCATCTATATTTGCCCTCTAGACTATATATGCATATAGATTCATATTTTAGTTACATTTCATTTTATGGATATATGCTTACCTAATGAATTTCTTCAATAGTTATTTTTTAATTTATCACTATTAACAATAGATTATTTATAAAATTTAAAAAAAACAAAACATTCTATGTTCATTACCTCAAATGAATCATAATTGATGGAATTTATTTTTTATAATATGTGATATCAGTTGTTTTAATCTTTAATTTACTGTAATTTCATGTTTAATTTCACTCTTGTCTTTTTTTTTAAAAAAATCTTTCTTTTGAGTTATTTGTTTCTATGTGTGTTTACGTAATATTTCGTTACATTATCCAATATATACATATTATGATGGAGTATACCAAAGGGATATAAATAGTTTCTTTTAGACAAAATTAGCTGATATATATATATATATATATATATATATATATATATATATATAATATGCTGTCTACCTTCATATATTGTGTATTATATATAAACTTATCAAACAGATATGAGTATTTTATAGATTTGTGTCATTTTGGATATATTTTCAGTATTTGTGCATATATTTAGTCAAGAGTATATAGTTATATTTATAACATTTATCAAATCTTTTACAACCATTAGTCGTCATGTTAATTTTTCGACAGGATTATTATCAACCTCTATTTCTTTCTTTTTTTTATTTCTATCGAGATCATCTTTTTTTCATTTTTTCCCCCTAAAAATCAGGTGTACATAAATCAATAAATAGATAGATGTGTGTGTGCTTGTATGTTTGTATTTCTCTCTCTCCCTCTCTTTCTATTAAAAAGAAAAAAAACATGTTTGTCCATTACCACTAACAGTTCTTTCACATAAAACTTTAAAGAAAATAAACCAACAAAAATAAATAAATCTTTTAAATGATAACAATAATAGTAATAATAATTATTATTCTCATTAATCACCTCATAATCATCATTCTCGTGTTAGTTTTTAATTAATATTATGATACTCATCTTTTGTTTGGTTGCCTTCTGTTGTTAATCGTCTGTATGTAAATATATATGTATGTGAGTGTTCTATGTCACAGAAACACATCATTCTTGTATGACTACTTTCGTCTTCGTTTCACTTTTCTTTTAAAATGGGTAGATTAATTTAAATAGTGATGGTACTGCTGTTCTAATATAATTATTATTGTTTATAAAAAAACACAATCTAATATAATCCTTTTTTCATTATTCTGTGTATTGTATCAGCTAATATCTACCGTGTTGGTATTTTTATTGACTTGATCGACCATTGTAGATATTATTTGTTCGAATAATTTGGGGAGACTAATTCAGTTTGCAAGTGACTTTTGTCGCATGCTAATGTCCACTGACGAACCATTGAAAACGAAACAGTTCTCGTGTACTCACAAGTGACTGAGTTTCGCGCTGTATTGCTGAACGATTATAGTCGGAAACCTGAACTGTCGAATTTGAACTCAGTAGTATAAATATTGAAGTCTCTTAGGAATAGTGCCTCAATTACGCTGTTCTCAGGAGTCCCACATTTTGGCGAAACGGCTGTTCAATGCCCCCTAATATTCGACGATTGCACATTACATTTCTGACGAAAATCATTTTCTGATGACAGGTATCTAAATTTAAAACCATTGCCTCAGAAGCAACAGAGAGTATAGCGAGAAAATTAAGCTCACCATAACTTTGTGGTTTACTAGTGTAGAAAATTCCGAATACTTTGATAACACATCAATTTTTTAAATCCCTTTTTTATCATAGATTCATCCTAACCTATCAACTTGCTCACGGATATTAATGCCAAAGATAGACCTATATCCTATTTATTTAAATTCTCTGTTTACTATTTAACCCAGAAAGAAAAACTCCTGATGTCCCTACACAGTTAGATCTATCATAATCCTTTCTTCATATGTCTTTTAATCATTTCATGTTATCGTTTTTCACTCATACGTTCCGTTCGACTTTCAGAAGTGAACATGTTCAACAGATTGGTAGTATTTTTAAGAGTTGCACCTTAAGACCCTTACTAGCCGACGTGCTTTTATATCATATATTGTAATTGTATTTATTAGAAATATATAAGTAACAACATAGTGACAAATCCAAAGGTGATACTTATCTACTAATTAACTATGGGACGTTAGTCAATATTCTGATGAAAGGATAAATAACCAGCTAGCTTCGGTGGATATACTTATTAGTCAAAGAAAAAGTTTGTAGAAGTCTAACACTTAGGATTGTTTTTGTCTAAACTGGTTTAAGACTCAGCTTATGTAAATAGCAAATGTTTTATATTGCCGATATTATTCATTTTACATTTATTCTCGTATGTTTTTTTATCGTACAACTAGGTGATTTGTTCAGATGAGTGAGAATAGTTCATTTATTCTACCATAGTACAGTTAACTACCCAACATTAATAAAACAAATTTGCTTTTTTTTTTAATTAAAAAGCATTTCAGTGTAAGACTTACTGATGTAATCTATAAGTAGTCTAATATCATGTGTTCTTTAGTAACTAGCTTCGAAAAGAAGTTTCTGGAGTTCTAGTGAGCAGCTATGATCAATGGAGCTCAACCATTTCGAGTGTAAGTCGGTCATCCAACAGAGACGGTTGAAAATGGTCGCGTATTTTCGAGGACTGACTGAAATCAAACATTAATACCATTGGATACCGGGTCAGTGATCTGGAGGCTAGGCGTTCGTCTGCGAGACCGAAGATCCAGGATTCGGTTCCTGCGTTCAGGGTAGTGAGTGCACACTGCTAAAGAGTCAAATACCAGGACAAAATATCCATCCAGTGGTTTAACTTAGATTGGTTCGGTATTTCAATGAAATTTAACGATCTCTACAACTCTGTACTGACAAAATAGTCTAATAACCAAAATATCATGCTGGTCTTCGCTTAATAAGGTACTGCTTTCATCTGTACAAGATTAATTTTACTTCATAGGATTTTAGCAGTGGTAATTTATCACTGGAATATTCGACTTACTGATGAGCTTATTTGATTATATGCGAAAGATCGTCGATTTATATCAACTGATATCGTCTATCATTTGGAAAATGGAACACTGCTTTTTATGGAGGCACTTAACTGGATGTGTGACGGTTGTATAGAGTGACATCAAGCATGAAGATATGGTTGAAGGATCGTTGGTTAACTAGTTTCTGTCTTGTTCTGTATAGGGGTGTTAAGGGAATCGATTTCCTTGCTAATCATAGTTGCCAAGATAAACACTGGAAGTAACCCTCATTAAACTTACATAATAGTTAGGCTCAACAATAAACCCATGGTTATCATTGAATATAAAATATAACATAATTAAATGAATCAAAATGATAAAATATCAAATAAAACAATCAGAAACTATTTTATTGTTACTAAATATATTTAGAGAAACTTATAATAAGTCTTTTTATTGAATAAATATTCACACGAAAAGGAAAACAATTATTTTTTTATGAAAAGTTTCCTAGAGATACATTGACATTCCAAATATCCAATAAAATTATTATACTGAAAACGTAAGTTAATTAGTTATCATCAAAGTTGAGATTGTTAACACAAAACTACCATTTTAAACATTTATATTACACATTGAAGTTTGAATAATGGTTCAGTGAGTAAAAAAGACATCGAAACAATGAAAGGAATAAAAGTAAAACATAGATTTATATGAAACTTGTGCTATAAAACAGGGGTGTTTAGAATTTTTTTAAGACCTATGATTAGTTTTTTTATTTTTCAAAAAAAAATTCTCATATCTTCATAATTAAAAATTGTTGCTAAGAGAAATTGATGATTTAGATGATTCTTTATCTTCTTCAATAGCTTCTAATTGTTGTGATTGATGTTGTTCAGATAATAGAAATTTTGATTGGTTTAATAATGGACTAAAATAATCATCATTTTCATTAGATTCTATCAATGTTTTATATAAATTCTGTTGATATTCATTATTGATCATTTGTAAATTATTCTTTTTAACATGTTCATCTGAAAAGAATTTATCATTCAAATTGGATTGATCCGTTTCTACATTGTTATCGAATTCAAACTGATTCTTTTTTATCGGTATTGGTAGTTTTAAATGACAATGATTATCTTCGGTTTTAATAAATGAATCTTGTGAAGATGACCAATCAAACAACTTACTGGTACTATTGTTATCATGGTTCTTTTCATGATGATGATGATTATTTTCATGGGAAAATGAAATATTTCTTGTTTTTAATGTAGAATATTTTTTTCGTCTAGTAAAAAATCCACAACAATATAATAATGCACTTAAAATCATTAAAATCCATAAACCAACAATTGAACCGGCTATCATTGGCCATAATGGTACTTTATGAGTTATTTTCAATTGAACACCATGAAAAATGATTGATTGTTTAAGTTCAAAATAATTATCAGATGAATATTTGATATTCATAAACTTATTTTCAGTATTTATTGTATAACTTTGATTTTGTGAAAGATTTTTTTCTATATTATAATAAGCTTTAATAATTAAAGGTAATTCACCCCAATCATCAATGTTTAATCTACTTATAAATTGTATATCAGATTTTTTTAGTTTGAAAAATGTTTCAGCCCATAACCATCCAATCCATTTTAATCTTACTGTATCACCATGTTTAAAATGTTTTATATGACATTGAATGTTGATACATTTTATTAAATAGTTATTTTCTATAGTTTCAATATTATTTGTTAAATGTTTTAAATGTGGACAATTTAATATGATTCTATTTTTATATGTTCGTTGTAAATCAGGTATTAAATTTGGTATGAATTTTTGTATGTTTGGAGAATGAGATACTGATAATTTATTGGACTTTTCAATATTTCGTTTAATGCGTTTTGTAAATTTGACATGTGAATTATTTGCAACTTTTCGTGTTTTTTCATCTAAAATGTAAATGTAAAATGAAAATCAATTGATTGGAATAAGTTTTAGAATGTCATAATGATAATGTTTCATTTCTGTGTTATTAGTTTATACATGACCATTTTATAGAATCAAAACTGTATCTGCTTATTTGGTACTTCTTCAAAGGATTAAGAAAAATTCTAATTCTATTGGTTAATACGAAGTTAAATGTTATTTTTGCAAATTAAAAAATATTTCAACAGGCGGTCTGCTTGAATATCTGGGCTACCTGTTTCTGCCATCTGATTATTTCAACAAGTTATCTGTTTTTCATTTGTTTTAATTTATAACTATGTCCATTAATCGCATAACCTATTCAGGCGCTTTTATGAAAAGCCTACGACCTTCCGCTGCACAAGTTACGAAAAAGTACTATAAAAGGCATCGTGGTGGTTGGCAATATGCGTTAAAGAGAATGAACATTAATCATATGTCAATTCCCGAGCTACTAAATTCTAACTGCCGATCACTAATCAACAAAGTGGACTATCTGCAATTCTTACTTAGTCAAAATACGTATCGTAATTGTGGTGTCATCACAGTTCAAGAATCTTGGTTGAATGATTTACAGGATGACTGCCTTGTATCACTACGTGATTTTAAAATTTATCGTCAGGATCGATCGAACAATAAAAAGAGGTGTGGTGGCGGTGTAGCTACGTTTGTAAACATAAACTGGTGTCGATCTTCGTTTGCGTGTTTCAAGTTTTCAAATGACTTTATCGACTGTCTAATTCTAAGATGTCGTCCAAAACATCTGAATAAATACAAATATGTTTATGTGACCAATATCTACGTGACTCCAGATTGCACATCATCTGCACTATCTGTTTTTGCTGATGAATTCACTGAGTTCGCTGTTACTGCCTTCAGTGATTCACTTTCAGTTGTATGTGGTGATTTCAATTCATGTGACTGTAGCTTCCTTACGTCACTAGGTCACCAAAATGTAGTAGATTTTCCTACCCGTCTGGATGCTCATCTAGACTTCGTCTTCATTAATGATGTGGGTATATATGCGACTCGTAAACGTGCTCCATTGTCTAGCTCAGATCACTGTATAATTCGTGTTCTACCTAAAGTATATGGAAAGCATGGGAAGAGTACACTCCTACGTCAAACCAGAAAAGTCAAATATAGGAATTACACAGAAGAAAATATCCGAAATCTGAAAAACATGTTTCATACGACTAACTGGGAATTATTTACAGATGACTCA